CTCCCTGGAGACTCGGAGGAGGGACGCCGGCTGGCTTACCAGCTGGTGGAGCGCCGCCGGGCGCGGGGACCACCCGCCGGACCCTTGGCCGGGGTGCAGGTCTTCGAGTGGCGTGCGACCCTCTCCCCCTACTGCCGGGTGGCCGGAGAGATGGGGGCACGGATCGGAGCCACCACCCCCAATCCCGGTTCAGCCGTGAGCCACCCCTGGTTGGAGGTCCACCAGAATCGACTCGTGGCCGACCGGGCCGGGCGGGCCAGGACCGCGGTGAAGGAGACTTGGGTCACCTGCTCCAGTGGCAGCGACCCCACCGGCCGAGAGCCCCTCTACTTCGTGCGGCACGCGCTCTCCCACGCCGCCACCCTCGTCGTGCTGGACGGACCTCTGGACCAGGATCTGGGGGGAGCCCGCGGGGTCTTGCAGGAGGGTGGGTACGACACTGCGGAGAGCGTGGCGCACACCCACCTCCTTGGGGGCCGGTGCGCCAGGTCGCGCCGCCTCCTCCTTGCCTGGAGAGACGGGGGGAACTGGGGGAGCGCCGCACTCGCACTCCTGCGGCGGGGCGAGCGATTGGCCCCACTGAACCTCAGCAGCGCCCTGTTGACGCCCGAGGCGGCCCCTCCGGAGCTCTACATGCAGGAGGAGGAGGGGAGGGCCCACTGGCGCCACTTCAAGGTCCCTGAGAGGGCCGACCGCGGGGAGGGAGGGCGCCCCGCCGCCCTCCAGGCGGCCGGGGCCTGGAAGAGCACCCGGGAGTCGGAGGGGGACGTCAGGGTCATCCTTAGCCCGATGAGCAGCGGGCCCGACTACCCACTCTGGCACCCTGACGAGGTCTCCGGGCACTACCCCGTGCTATTGGAAGACGCGCGGGGGGATGGCACCCCTTGGGTGAGGCGCGTCGATCCCAAGGAGGCCTGGCAGATTTCCGGGGGCTTCCTTCACGATTAATCGGCGGGAGGTAACCCGAGCGGGGGTCCCCGAGGAATTGCTCCTCATGGGTGCCGCCCGCTCCATGCCGCCCGTCTCCGCGCACCAAGTGCCGTGGGCAGCGGCCAGCGCGAGGGGGGGCCTCCTCGCGGAGGGAGCCCGGGCAGGGGTGTGCCGAGATCCTGATGAGGACTTCATGGCCGCGGCCAACGCGACGTGGTTCAACGCCTGGAAGGCTAATTCCGAGGACTCCCGGACTGCTTACGAGCGGTGGCTCCGAGAGGCCCGCGGGGCCCGGGCTGGAGGGCCACCCGGAGGGGCCCCGCAGAGCGGAGGTGCAGGCCTGCTGGGCGCCCCCCACTTGGCGGGGCCCGCTCCCCCTTTGCTGGGGCCCCGGACGCGGGGGACCGGGGGCTCCCTCGCCCCCTCCAGCACCGCCTCCCGACGGGGACGACGTGGACCGAGAGGGGGGCAAGGGGCCCGCGCCTGAGGCGCCTCGCCCAGGAGGAGGAGGAGGAGGTCATGGGGGCGCTCACGGCGGCGCCCCGCGGCCGGAAACCCCGGACCCAGGCGGAGCCCCAGTGCCCTCTGCTGACGGCGGAGGGGGATCAACCTCAGATTGGGGGAGGCCACCTGGCGGACGAGAGGGGGCGCCTACGGGACAGCCTCATCTTCGGGAACCTCGCGAAGGGGACGCGCACCTCATACGCCGTTGCGTGGAGGCAGCGGCGCCTTTTCCTCAAAGCCCGCGGCGGGGGCCCGCTCCTCGCGGGGCTGGGGAGGGAGGGCCGGCGGCAGGATGAGGACGTGCTCCTGGACTGGATCGTCCACCTGGCCCATGTCCAGCACCGCTCGGAGGGGGCGATCCGGGGAAAGCTGATGGCGGTCCGCCACTACCATATCGCGGCGGGACACCCGGACCCTCTGGAGCTGGCCCCCAGGCTCGCGCTGGCGCTGGGGGGACTACTGAGGATGGGCGCCAAGCAGAACCGGAAGTACCCTGTCACCATTGAGATGATGCGCTGGCTAAAGGAGAAGTTGGACACCGGGAGGGTAGGAGACGCGGCCGCCTGGGCCGCCCTCACCACCGCCTTCTTCTTTATGCTGCGCGCCTCCGAGTACCTCGCCGACACCTCCGGGGGTAGGGAATGGGCGGCGGAGCGGGTCCTCTTCGGGAGGGATGTCACCCCGAGGAGGGAGGGCGCGGTCTGCCCCACCTTCGCGTCCGCGGACGAGGTGGTTATCTCCATCAAGGGGAGCAAGACCGATCAGTACAATTTCGGATGCTGCCGCAACCACTACGCCACGGGCAATCCCTTGTGCCCTGTCGGAGCCCTCGCCGAGCTGGAGAGGCTGGCGCCCCAGCGGTGGACCTCGGAGGGAGACCTCCCTCTCTTCCGAGACGGGGATGGGAACCCCATCCGGCGGAAGGACATCGCCGACCTCTTGGGCCAGGCGGCGAAGGCGGCGGGGGTGCACCCCTCGCGCATCGGGAGCCACTCCCTGAGGATCGGAGGCGCCACGGCTATGTACCACGCCATACCAGACCTGGAGCGGCTCGAGCGGTTCGGGA